TGTTTCTCTGTGGTATAGTAGAAGCCAAAGGAGAACACTACATTAGAAAAAGGGGATTTACATTAGTTTGTTGTCATCTGCATTTATTGAGAAAAAAAATCTGTGACTGTAAAGCTGCAAGTATATAGGGAGAACAGAAGGTAATTACTTTTTACAAGTTATGAGCCAGCATTGGTTAATTTTCCATTTAATTTGTTTTCCCCTCTACTATCAGTAATTGGCTATCTTTGAGGAAGCTACTTGACCTCCTCATGCTTCCCTTTGCTCATCTTGCTTGTGAGGTGCTTGCCTTGTTCGTAAAGGCAGTGGGCATTTTTCCATCAAAGATACTGTTTAAAGAATCTAGATATCAACCCCTTGCTTTCATGTGAATCGGAAGGGATTCTGGCTATTGTACTTGTATATTTTTGACACTTTTAAAATAATACTTGCAGTGTAATAGTTCTGTAACTTTCTATTAACATCTTAATAATGAATTCATGAAGACTTGCCCTTACTGTGAATGGTTATTATGTAGATGGCCACAACAATGGTTATTATAGCCCTTGGTTTTTTTACTTGTGCAAATGTTAAGACAGGTTCCTATCACTTTTAAAAAGGGTCCTGTAAATGTGAGGTCAGTACTTGGACCTCTTGTATTTAACACACATCCAGCCAAAGGAAGGTGTGAAATGGCTATATCAACTCTGCTTTACAGGTTTAGAGCAGGGGTACTTGAGAAGGCCCTGGGGGGGGACAGAGCGGCCCACAGACCATCCTGCGGTGTCGCACAGGTGCAGGGGGTGGGAGGAGCTCGCATACAATGGTTGCCACCGCTCTGCATTCAGCTGCGCACCTCACCCCTCCTCTTCTCTTTTTTTCTGTTCCTGTCATTGTGACTTGACTAGTAATGTGTGTTGATCAGACATTTTCCTTGTCATTTTTCTGATCCTGTGTGATCTATTAAATGGTGGCACAATCAGACCTTTGCTGTGTGAAAGCTTTACATGCTAGAAATGTAATGAACAGTGCTAGTAAGAAACAAACCAAGTTTACTAATTGGTTCAGAGAGGCGTTGTAAAGGAAGAGATCTATGTACTTTACGTTGGTTTTGTGGGGTGAGGGGCAGAGAACCTCTAATCAGGAAGTCCAGGACAAGCAGCTAAAGGAACTAGGTCCTGCAGCATCTACCAGATACTTCTGCCAGCAAAAACAGCTTTCACTGTCCTGGGTCTACAAAATTCTACAAGTTTGCGAAGTTGCACCATGCTAACGCTGTGTGTGAACCAAGTCACCCATATAACAATTCGCAGACAGCCACAGAAAAACATAAACTCCTTAGTTCACCACTGAGTAATTAAGTCTGCAACTTCTGCTGTACCATTTGAACTTTTTCTCCAAGCTTACAATGCATTAGTTGACAGCACTCTGTATGAGTAATCATTGAGTTAGCTGAGAGCTATTCACTTAAAATAAATGGGAACTAAAACATGCCAAAAGATGTCAGTGAAGTAATAAAAATGTTTGCAACAAGCTACTGATTTTGAAAATGCAGGAATTTCAAATTCAAGGCGATGAATGGGATTTCATTTCAAATTAACTACTAACAGAGCAACTGCACTCAAAGCAAATTTGATATACAGCTTTTTATTGGTTAGGGTTGTTTCATTTTGTTCCAGTTCTGTTACTTATGCATTTTGTACCTTACTGGAGAGAGGGTTTTTTAATTATTTATAAACACCATCTGTAAAATGGGTATGTAACTTACTTATCTCACCATGGCGTGTTCAGGATTAATGTTAAAGCTTTTTGACATCCATGGGTGAAAATTGCTGGAGGCACATAGATTTACTATGAAAGTCAGCACAGAATATGGTTTTGTCATACAAGATTTAATAGGCAATTAGTGGAAAGTTCACAGGTTTAATTGCCCATTCTTAAATATGAAAGCTGGTATTGATGGGATTTTCATCTAAAACTCTCCCTCAGGGGAATCGTAGCAATGATCAAGTAAAAAGCTAATTAACATAAATTTATTTTAATTTTTAGAAGTATCCAAGATATAAGTGGAGACCTTTGGTAGAGTGTTCCCTGCCAGGCATCCCCAACCTACACTTGTTTGTATTTCCTTCCCTTAATCTTTACCTTTTTATTTATCTTCAGACTTTGAACATGTCCTTTATGGGAAAAAAAACAATACCCTTCTCTAGAAAAGCATTTCATAGTAATGCTTACTGATAAGATAACATTACCTACTGTATTTTAAACCAATGACTCTCAAATCTACTCTGTGTATGAACTGCCTGCATCATCCAATTAAGTACCTTGGCCTGTCTTTTCTGACATCCCTCTATGGATGTCTTATCATAACTTTAAAATCAGTATGGTCAAGACTGAGCTCTTGATCACTCACCTCAGTCTTCTCTCTTTTGCATTTTGTCTGTTGCCATGGCTGCCATCTATCTCTAGGGACCTACCTAAATCATGGCAGAAGTTTGTGGCACAGCAGCAGCTTTTTAATCTCGCTGTTTTCACCATGCACCTCCCATTCCCTCCCACTCTCACCTCTCTGCTGCTAAGTGATAGATGTGCAATTAATGCCACTGTATTTGCCTCCCAATCTCTCAGTGGCAGTTGGGGGGGGGGTCAGCAAAAAGATCGAAATTAAAGGTGCTACTACATCAGTAACTTCTGCCAGTATTTAGGTGAGTCCCTATGACCAGGGATCCTGGTTTTCCCTGATTTTAAAAAAGAATAGCAAATTCTCTGATTTTTTTTAAAAGAAAATAGCAAATTCTCTCATTAAAACCCCCAAATTTATGATTAAAATGAAATGCTGCTATATATATGTGTGTGTGTGTGTGTGTGTGTGTGTGTGTGTATACATTTTTC